GCATCATGAAACATATCACCCACTCCTTAGTTTTCTAACATATTGATGCCTGGGGCCATCATCTGAGCATGCTGATGAAATAGATTAGCATTGGTTAGTCCATCAAAAGACAGCCCATGCAATCAACATGGAGAAGAGAGTGGAGGAATCTAGCAAGGGAAGCCAGTTTCCTTGATCTGGTTTCTGCACAGTGTGGGAGAAAACAAGGAACCACTTCTAAGCAGATATGATAAGCTGTGAGGTGGCTTTATGTTGTTTGTCCGCTTCTGTGGCGCCACTTTATAGAGGTCTCTGTCTCCTGCAGCATCATTCAGCTGCTTTATTCTTGATACCTGTTCTACTTTTTTTCCAAGGCATGTCATATGGCTGTTCATGCTTCAATCAAAGTAATCACAGAGGAGAGGGGAAATGGGTACCAAAGCTGCTTTCTTGTTGCCACATCAAAGCATCTAAGGAAGACAACCACCACACGAGATAAGACGAAGGTCTTTGGCCCGTAAGAGCAGGAACAGCACGACACTGGACAACAGGAGGACACTAAACATGGAACAATGAGCGACTATGACTCGTTGACATGTCTAACCCTCTTGTGGCCGAGCTTCCCACCGGAGTCGCCCCCGGACGACGCCTCCATCGGCCCGGTGAAGGAGAGGGAGAGGTCGGCGTACAGGTCGACGACACGGCGGATGTTGTTGTTGAGCTCCCTGATGAGGCCGACGTTGCGGCCAAGGTTGTCGGGGATCATTGTCTCATGGTTCTGGTTGATCTCATTGATCAGTAGCCTGTTCTGATTTAAGATGCTCTGCACCTGAACGAAGCTCTTCTGGAAGGCATGGAAGGCCTTGTTGTCCACTTGGTTTCCATTTCCATGGACTGAGAAGGTGTCTCCTCCCTCCATTTCCACCTCCAATCCGATCCTCCTCAGCTGGCGATCGAGTCAATCCAACCAAGCACTGAAAGATGACAACAAAAGGAAGAGTCTATACTGTAAGAAGGATCCTGACAACAGCTTTGAAAGCAAGGAAACTGTGAGAGCTACCGAGTATAAAGCTCGAAGGCAAAGAGAGAGAGAGAGAGAGAGAGAGAGGGAAGGAAGGCACCTATTGAGTGGTATTTGGGCTTGAGAGGGATGCTGAGGCAGGGACAAAGGAGAGAGAGATCATGGTTTCCTAGTCTCCTTTCCACAATGTGTACAACAAACAAAATCTTTACATGACAGCATGGAAAAGCTGGTCCATAACAAAAACCTCAAACAGGACTGGGAACAACCACATGGCAGAAAGAAAGCAAAGGAATGAGAACAGCCAATGTACTGCAAAAGGGAAGGCAGATTGACATTTTAATTTAAAGCAAAAAAAAAGAGGGGGGTGAGAGGGGATGAAATCATCTTGCTTTTCATGTGTTCTAGAGAAATATTTTATGCCATGTGAAGACAAGAATCTGCAGCTAAGATGAACCTGAACTTGAGAGAAGAAAACAAATGGAAGAATAGCATCAAATCAAGTTAAAGAAGGAAGCTCAAAGGTAATTTCTTGGAGATACAATTCAACCATATCTTCAGAGAAGCTAACACTGCTGCAAATTGGGCAGCATCTTTTGCTAAGAGCTCTGGTTCTTCTGTTTTGTGGCAAAGCAACTTGCCAGCTAAACTTTGTAGCATCATTACCTCTGAATTCCAGACTTTTGAGCAGTTAATCTAGTATTTTTCAGTTTGGAAAAAAAAAGTGAAAGAAGGAAAATGAAAACTCTCCTCCAAAGAAAAGTGAAGAGGATCCAGCAACAAATATCATATTTTGAGCCATACTTCTAAACAATTTTCTTCAGAAACAAAGATAGACAAACAAAAAACAAAGATACAATTTTTGATGTCAGATCCTCCATAACCTTCACAGACCAGCAAGAAAACAAAAGCAGATCCCACAAGAACATGGAAAGGAAACAAAGGTACATATTCTTTTGCATCAGGCATACCTTCTGAATTGGAAATTCCAACAATCCCAGCATGTAGAGAGAGAGAGAGAGAGAGAGAGAGAGAGAGAGAGAGAGGAAATAGATTGAGGAAATGTGAGAGAGTATGAACTGGCAACCAGAATCTACACTTATGTGACTATATATAACAGTGGGTCTACTGACTAAACAAAGAATGCAGGGGGGTGACTTGTGGGTGATGTATAGATGTGCACTTGAGAGAAGACTTCCTGGATTTCTCTACTTGGTCAAGTCACCTTCACAAACCTAAAACTTACACATCATGTCATGCGGAAAGATCAAACATGCAACTCAAAAAAGGAAAATTGAAGTTCTCATACATGAAATGCTAGTTTCTCATGGCAAGTAGTTTCAAGCAATCCAGACTTCCCATCCATTCCTTGTCCAGTTTCTTTCATTTTATTTGATCCATGTCTTCTATATCAACATTCAGAACTGAGATAAGATTACAAGTAGAAGTGCAAAGTTTAATAATACAAAGAATCTGAACAATTATTTCTGTGACATCAATTCCTTCCACATAAACAATTTGCAGAAAGTCAAATGTGAGTAGCTTGGCAAATTTTACAAAGGAAAACTTAGATGAGCTGTTGAAGAAAAAGAAAAATAAATAAAGAAATAATTGTTGTTGAAACTTTGTAGGATTATTTGCACAAATAAAGATAAAGACTTTGTTTCATGTCATGTGCTTTTTATAAGGAACAAAGACAGAGATATATAAATGAGTGACACATATTTGCTACTAAATTAATAAATATGTAAGAATAATGGCTTATGACTTTTTATTAGTCATGACTTGCATAGGAATAAGGTGTTGGACTCATGGATGATGGAATATTAAGCCTGGATTAACTCAGATATAAACAAGTGTTTGAGAAAACTTTGATCAAGCAAAGACATCATGAAACAATTTCAATGCTAAATCTTATAAAGAATTTTACAACTGTTTTCCCAACTATAAACCTGTTTAGGAGTATATGAAATCATACACTACAGCTCCATCTTGTCCAATTTGAGATAATTGTAAGGGTAAACAAGAATTTAATTTTTCCCAGAGGAAGTGCAAGCAAGACAAAAGAATTGGCAAAATAAGAATTAGTGCAGAATCCAAGTGTCCAACAAATCAAAAGGAAACATTTCTCAAGGAAGAAGATGATGATAACCAAGTTGTCACAGCTCTGCTTTTGACAGGTTCTCATGCTTTCCTCTCTTCTCACATTTCCTCTGTTAGCTTATTCGGTTCATGGTTCTCAGTGCAGTTGTAGAATCTTCAAACTAAATTGTGGAGATACCTCAAAGCTCAGCAGCTCTCACAGCCATCATGTCTGATAAATAACAACACTCAAAAGACTGTCATGACATGTGCAATCCATAAACTGATTGCTTCGGAGAAAGAGACCCTCTTGAGGCCAGCATGCAATCAAAGTATCTTTGTGTTGGTGCACACTATTCTACGTCCCGGCGTGGCACACGGAAACCCAAGAGTGCTGTAATTTAAGGTTTCCTATTGTCAAATCTAGAAGCTAGGTTGGGATCTTTGCTACTGTTCCATCACCTTTGTAATGGAGTTAAACAAATGGAAAGCCAGCCTACATGTCCATTAGTTCGTGCGTTAGGCGGTGGGAGGTGGAGCGCAGCAGACATAAAATAAGTGCAGTGTCTAATCCGCAGTGCTAATCTATGACTTGGGCTTATCCGATGAGATGCATGGTGTTGAAATACTATTGAGACGATGCTTATGCAAATCTCTTTGCAATGGGTTGAGGATTCGAACCTTACGTCCTCTTTGTCTCCTCGCCCTCAGTGAGGAGTTGGTATACTCTTGCGGGATCTGATGCCCGCAATCGAAGAAGCAGAATCCATAAAAACGGAAGAGTTTCTACTTATCTTGCGGTGTTTCCCCATTCTTATCTGCAATACCATTCCGAGAGAGACGAGCAGAGGAACTCCGCCACCAGCGACCGACTGGGAGCCGCCCCACAAGCCCATCGGCACACCCACCCCCATCACACGGTCCGTAGCAGCATGCTGATCGTCTACCTCGTCTTCCTCGACGCAGGCACCCTTCTCGATGTCGGCATTACTATTCTGGCCGACTTCTCCAACCCCAACCATAAAGCAATGGATGTATTATCCTTTAGCTACGTGCAGCCGGACCTCTACCACCAGCGGAGGGCGGAGTCGAAGCTGAAGAGTGTAGACGTGGTCTCGATTCGCAGGTGGCCTAGGCTTGGCAGAACGTGTGGCCGCCAACGGCGTGGCATTGGCGGCGATGGCTGACCTGCGGTGTCTGACGCATTTCCTTTGTACCGTTATAGGCGGTGCGCCGGTTACCGGTTCACTTTCGGTTCGAGTCGAACCAGGCTCGGTTCAGAGAGACAAACATAAGCCATCACCAAATTGATTGTGTCAAATTGTGTGGTTCGTTTCGTATCGGAGACGCGAGTGAACCGAATTGTGCTCGTCATCGTCTTTTATCGTGTCCAAACCCACCCAACACGCCTTCAGTCGCAATCGTTTTGAATGGGGTGGGTCCATGTTTTAAAACTTGAACCGTTAGGTAGCTTTCGGTCTACTGATTCCGAACCGGCTTAAACCCTCCCGCCCCAATTACACCTCTAGCAATCCCCTTTGCGGAACAAAGAGTACGTGTCCTCCGACATCTACCTGCTTTCGCATTGGATAAAAATATATGGGTCCCATCTAAAGTTCCAACCAAAAGTCATGGGTGATCGAGGGAACTTATTAGTAGGTAAAAGAAGTTTTGCTGTTCTTCCGAATTAGCCGTAAATGGTAGTTAAAACTCGGAGCAATTATTTCTAGAAACTTGTGCGTTCGTACCCGAGAAGGTTACCTGAGGAATCTTGCTTGGACCCACCTTGAGGGTCCGATAATTACTCCAATAGAACGAAAGGTATGGGAAGGTGTCGCGTTAAACCTATAAAGTTAATGATCTCGCTGTTCTTTCGTGTTCTTTGATGTCCTTCTCGCCCTTCCATTGGTCTCTTCTATTTATCGTCGGTCGACGATTGGATCAACCGACCCCGTTGATATCCCAAATACGAATCATATCTGGAGATCGAGCCGAAGGCGGTGGATTCGAGATACAGGCGAGAGGGGGACGCCTGCTGCTTCTCCGATCGATCCGTGGGTCTCAGATCTTCTTGATCCCGTCCAGGTGATTTCTTTTCGCCTCCTACTTCCTACTTTTCTTCAAGGAATTGCATGATTTTGCTTGTGTTTTCCTGCTTTCATGGGAGATTTTGCTGTGGTCTGACGCGAGGAGAAACGATGATTCATTATACGTTTAAGATGTTTAGCGGTGATGGTTTCGATTTGTTTATCTGTTACATGTGACTAGTTTGGTTCGATGCTCTCTAAATGTTCACTGTTTGAAAGACGATTTGGTGGCCATCGGAGTTGAAAGGTCCATTCTTGAGTTCCTTTCCTTCTTTGCTGGGTGTATGGGCTACTGAGGGAGGACAGCATGGAGGTTGAAATGGGGAAATGTAGATTCCAAGTCTCTTCTAAAGATCTTACCCATCAACTCCCTGTGCCTAGGTCACCCATTTCTAGGGCTCAAATGGCTATCCAAATGATCTTTTCAGACCGTTAAGACATGCTGCCAAGCCTCCTTACAAACTATTGGAAATCACTTCTTGCCGTGTAAGACCTGTTGCAGCTGCATATACAGTCTTTTATAATCTTATTTTCGTTTTAATTTTATTTCTCTCCTTCTTTGCGAGGCTAAGTTTTACAAAATTTCAGCTATATAGACTGATGATGCATGGGGTTAGACTGTTTTCTTATTGAAACTTTGAGTTACTTTATGGACTGGTATTATTCTTGTGATCATGAATGCTTTTTCTTCCATATTTTTGGATTTTTTTTGGCAGTTGTACTTGGTGTTGGTTTTTTATAAATAGTGGTCAAGGTCTCCAGATGTCACTACTATTCTAAAGACATTCTGATAGAATTAAACTTCAGTTCAATTTCCAGCATATTTAATTTTCATTCTGGTCAAAGTGTTTATTGCTTGCAGACTTGGTTACAAGTTTTTCCAGCTCTAACTTTTTTCCGGATAATTAAATTATTTCTAGTGGTTCCTTGCATCCTTGGATTGTGATGCCTGTGCAGTATGTTAATTCGTTGGCACCTTTTCTCAAACCAGGTTTTATGGTGCTTCTGACTTCTGTTCTTCATATTTAAATTGTGGTGATGCCATCATCTCTTTCATAATTTAACAATAATTATGAACCTACCGAACAATGTGAAGCTGCTTTTGTTTAGAAATATTGCTCTGGCTTCTCAATTCTAAAGTTGGAAGACATGGCAAAATTTGGAACTGGTGGTCGCAGGTACCTAAGCTATTAAATCATTTTAGATTATGCAGCTTTTGCACTGAAGAACTATATTTATGCTTGACATAATCTGATGTATGTTACTTTGTGACTTGCAGTGCCCTTCCCAGAAAATCAAATGAGAACATGAGGCTTATTATTTCAACAGTCATTGGAATTGTGTTAGGTTACTTGATAGGCATTTCCTTTCCCACAGTCAGCATAACCAAGGTAAATGATTTTGTTGCTACTTTCTTTTTCTGATATTCAAAACTAATGCTCCCAGAAGAAATGATAATTTTACTTGCTAAATTTTGCAGCTTCACTTTCCTTCCAGTATTATATCATACATTGAAGACAGGAATTCAGGCATCACTACCCAAACCTTATTGAACCATGCTTGGACCTCAGCTAATAATCAAAATAGAAATAACGCTACTTCAAACACAACTGATACTTTAAAGGTGCTTTGCTTCTCTAGCTGTTGGCTCCAGCTAATTGTTTTTTGCTTATCTCATGGTTTGTTGTACTTGCTTTTTATATTCACTTTTATTGTGAAGTCCTTAGACAACACAATCTGGTATGCAGAGCAAAAAATGAAATGGCTTGTGAATTTGGTATTCTATTTTAATTATAGTTACGTTGGAGAAGATCATCTGTAATATGAGGAGTTTGAATGATTAAAAGGATCTAACTGTCGATGTGACCATATGGTGCTATTGTAGTCTCATAAAATTTTTCCATCATGTGAATGAAAGAAACTGGATTACTTTTCTGGCTGTATATTTATGTTGAGTTAATTTTCTCTAATGTTATATTAGCTGAAGTTGTTGGGATTGGAGAGAGGAGTTCTTGGGATTGGAGAGATGAGAGTTAAAGTCTGTTTATAACTTTATATAATCTGTAAATAATATGAATAATATGAGGAAATCAATTTTTCACTCCTAATACTATCTGTATATTTTACTAGCAAACTAAAGTTTAGGTATATTGAAGATATTTCTTTGGTGCATGTTTTTCTGTTGAAGATGCTGTTTTAATTTATGAGAGGAATTGGGAGTTTAATTTTAAACATAAACTATCAAGATAATTCTTAGAAACAAGAGTTTTTAGTATAACTAGAACTAAAATTAAATATACAAATATAAACTTCAAAAATAGCCGGAGAAAATTTGAGAATATGATGTCAGAAACTTATAATTCAACAAACATGGGAATGCATGGCTGATAGTGCCATCCATTTTGCATTTATATTTTATATTAATTTTTAAGTTATCCAAACCCCTCTTCTCTTGGAAAGTCCTTTCTCAACATGATGAAAATACTTTATTTTTTGTGCAAACTAGTGTATATATATCTGAATGTATATATATACTAAATCTACTTCCATGGAATATCTTATCTATTGTAGTATATATTTTTGTCGATACTTGCAACACGTAGGTATCTGATTATGTAATTTACAGGATTTGCAATACTGCCCATTGGTATGGATGGTATTTACCGATCTGACTGCCTACCAGTGCACGGACCAGGGTAAACTGGGCATATTTGTGATTATGCAATCTACAATATTTACAATACCACCTATTGGTACAGTCAGTATTTACGCCCGATAGCCTATCGGCATGCAGACTAGGGTAAACCTGATGTTATGTCCTGCATAGGGCTTGTACCTCCCTGTGTCCAATATAGGGCTTGTACCTCCTAGTGTCCAAAACAGGGCTTTCACCGGCAATAAAGTTTAAAGATTTTTCAACATCTTTTCAGGTTTTTTCTGGAATTTGGTATGTACCAATGTACTGACACACGATACGCCGGTATAGCTCGAACCTGTATTGGTGCAGTCCTGGATCAGTACAGATATGGTACTGGAGATTGTGTCTCTTGGAAATATGCACATGTATCTCTTCTTATATATTTTTTACTTGATAATGCACAAACAATATATGCAACATTTGGTTACAGATTGGACTTGAATTTTGTTGGGATGAACTTTTTCTTTTCGAAGTGAAATCCCCTACGATATGGGACAACGGTTCATGTCAACTCTAGTTAAAGGATTGACTGGAATTTTGATTCTTTATATTGACTGTCTTGCAGATTTATGTTCCTACAAATCCCAGAGGTGCAGAAAGACTACCACCTGGCATCATTGTGCCAGAATCAGATTTTTATTTGCGCAGATTATGGGGTAACCCAGATGAGGTAGGTAGCTCTCGATGATTTTTTCTCAAGACATTTTTTTAATCTAATGATGTATTTCTCCATAGTTGATGTATTCTTTTGACAATAATATTCTTGAATTATGTCATGACTTATTTTTTGATTGTTATAACCATATTGAATTTCCAATTAGACTACATATATGTGGAATATACATGCACAAAAAATTTCCACATGGTTGCTAGATTCTAAGCATGACAATAAATATGCACTGTGAGATGCCGTATATATTATTTCATTCAGACACTAAAAACGGACCCTTTAACCAATTATGCAAGAATATTGTAGTCAAATTTTTGCAGTCAGTATATTATTGTTTTTTAGATCATTAAAGCTCAAACCTGGGCGTGATTCTTCTAAGAAACATTTTTTTATGAATTTATGTTCTTAGTCTTGATGTGAAATGAATATTGAAGTTGACATATGGTGAAAAGCAATTGATGCAGCCATGGGTTTGCCTGGCTCCCACGCCGTCATGTTTTGCCCCATGCTTTATGAAGGTACCATATCATGGATTCTTGCCCATGCTAGTCCAAAGGTACCTCATGAGATAGGCAATTCTAGCTAAGTCCATGACACAGCGGTGGCTTCACGCCATGACATGCTCTCTAAGCTTGGCCAAGTTTTTTGTGAAATTAAAGTTTATACAGCTCTACTGAATGTGAAGATTGTTTCTTTGTACATTAATATACATATAGAAGCTTGAGTTATGAACCAATGTGAACCTTCATGTGTGTCATCTTGCATGATAATCTAGTGGGAAGCGTATGTTGAATTAAGCAATTATGAGAACAGATTGCTAGTATGATCTGAACAGATGTTCTTCAATTTGGTATATGTTATATTTTATTGCCAGACTCATCAACATGGTTTAAAATACCACCCTTATGGCTGGTACTTGTCAGTTTGACAATTGAGACATGTACCAAGTGATTTAGTCTGGTTCAGTGCAGTATAGGATATACCATTCTGTAAGCTTATTTTACTGAGCTCACAGATTCTCTCTCTCTCTCTCTCTCACTCTCACTCTCACTCTCACTCTCACTCTCACATCTGGGTGGTACCAACTGGTACTGATTCGTAGCATCAGTATTCTGCCCCATACTAATACCATGCTGGTCCAGCAGCTGGCCCCTGGACTGAGATTGTAACCCGTGCTATCAACATAGAAAAGAGTTCCAACTTAACTAGAAGCTGAATAATTAGATCTTGTTGTTATGTGTTTTATGTTTGTTTTTAATATTCACCATTTGGTCATAAACCAGAGTTTAAGCAAGCTTTTCAGAAATCATAGGATGCTGAGATGCTCTTTTCCTCTTAAACTTCATCTATTGGGTTTAGACTAGATTGCTCTTAGTGTGTAGCTTTGAAGTTCAATGCTGCATGGGATTGTTACAAAATGGGTATTCTGCTAGTCTTGACTCTAGCTTTATCCAATTCTATATCGGTCAACATTTTCTCTAATATGGATATGCTTGCTTTCAATTGTGATTTAACAATTTTCTGGGACCTGTTTTCACGTTGTGGCCACATGTGTATTTCTGTCTTACTTAAAGTTGTTGCCTCTATTGTTTAAATTGAATGATGCAGGATCTAATCACCCGGCAGAAATATCTTGTGACATTCACTGTTGGATATGACCAGAAAAAGAACATTGATGCTGCTGTTAAAAAGGTGAGTACTCAGCTGTTAACTGAGTTCTAGAGAAAAGGATTCTCAACTGGTACATGTTTTATAATATTTTTGTTGTTACTATACAGAAACTTAAATCAAATATATATGATAACTTCCTGTTTCTGATTTTTTTGAATTTCACTAATGGACGTCTAGTTTGTAAATTCTATTCCACCACATCATTTGGTTTGAAGAAGTCCAATACTTTGTTTTCCTTTTCCACTTTGAATTTGAAGTTCATGTTTAAAGATTGATCACTAGTTTACCTGTTTTCCAGTTTTTTCATTTTTATTTTCCCTCAGAGATTGATTGCCAACTCTTTTTTTTTTATTGAATTCAATTTATATCTTCGTGCTCATTTTGGAAGCAGTGGAGCTGCATTTATGGAGGTCTCAGAACCTTTGATTATAACTATAATATGGTGCAAGAATAGTTGCTGATTGCAATGTGTTTTTGTGCTATAAGCTTGTTTTTCTGATCATTATCTCTGGCTTATCTGCTTAGCGAACAGATACATGAGGTTTAATTGATTGTCTTTTTAACTTATTGTGGATCTTGTTTTACTGGCTTCGTTAAGGTTGAGCTACTAGTTGTTCACTTTCCATATATAAAATAAAGAATGAACTGTTTCTGGCTTCCCAATTGGATCCATGCAAGTCAAATTGTACATCCATTTCACCTTCCCAGGTCAATGTTCTGGGCATAGGTTGTCAAATGTAGCTTTTAGTAATCATGGTACTTAGGCTTTGGACGGTTAAAAATAATCCAGACAAGCTCAACTCCCACCTACTCGTTTTGTAGCTCCCAAAAACCTGGTTCAAGGAAGAGGAATGGGTATGGACTTGAAGTAGAGCACTTCTACGCAGCCTTTGTGAATCCACAACATCTTGACATAAACTACATACTCGCCCCACCCCTTTTTTTTACCACGGTTGCATAATATGTGAAACATTGAGTCATGGTAGTAGTGTTGATGCTGCTTAATGCCATGTAGCTTTCTTCATGTTTCATGGGGATCGGGCATAGTTGCTTCAATATGTTGCATCATGCCACATATTGAATTATGCAGCTCAATTAACTATTTCTTTTTTATGTGATTGAATGAAGGGATTTACTCTCTCCCTAATTTGGTTCTGACACTGCTTAGCAGCTGTTGAAGCAGTTTCTTGTATGGTTTCTTAACTCGAACAGACACTGACTTTTTGTTATTTTGCTTCTGGAGTTTGAACACTGGACCAGGGAAATTGGCTTTGTAGACTGTCATTATACTTTTTATTTAGTTTGTCTATGACAACAAGTTAAACCTCATATATTTAACTGTTACTTGAAGATTTTTTTGCTGTAGTTGTTTGATTGTGAGAATCTATCCTACAGTTCTCTGAAAATTTCGCAATACTATTATTTCATTATGATGGTCGAACTTCTGAATGGGATGAATTTGAGTGGTCAAAACGAGCTATTCATGTGAGCACCAGGAAGCAAACTAAATGGTGATCATCTCTTGCTAGTTGTGTGGTCTTATGTGTTTACTCTACATGACATGGTCAAAACTCGGAAGTGTCTAATTTTGTTACTTCATTTTAAGGTGGTATGCCAAAAGGTTTTTGCACCCTGACATTGTGGCACCATACGAGTACATATTCATTTGGGATGAGGACCTAGGAGTTCAGCATTTTGATGCCGAAGAGTAAGTGATGAATTTGTTAAGCAAGAAATCCTTTAAAAAGGCCTAACGTAATAAACTTTCATATCTTAGGTATATCAGATTAGTAAAGAAGCATGGACTGGAGATTTCACAGCCTGGCTTAGAGCCTGACAAAGGGTTAACATGGCAAATGACAAAAAGGAGAGGTGACCGTGAAGTCCACAAGTGAGCTTTCTAAATCTTTTTTTTTCCTGGGAATAAATGTTTACATGATTGTTGTCAATTTATTATTAAGTTGCCTTTATACCAGGGTAACTGACGCATGGTCTGTTTTCGTCATAGGGAAACAGAGGAAAAACCAGGCTGGTGTGCCGACCCCCATCTGCCCCCATGTGCAGCGTATGCATGCATTACTAATCTTTGCCCTGCCTGCATTTCTCGTCTTAACGTCAAAACTAAATACTGTCTGCTAACAGGTTCGTCGAGATAATGGCAACTGTGTTCTCTAGGGATGCATGGCGTTGTGTATGGCACATGATTCAGGTAAGGGTGGATCTTCATTGTTTCGGTGCTGTGTACACCTCTGTTTGCTATTCCTCAAGTCGCATTACTGATGCAGAATGACTTGGTCCATGGATGGGGCCTCGACTTTGCTCTAAGAAAATGCGTAGAGGTACAATGCAGAATTGACCGACTTTGTCGTTGCTCTTTTGGCTGTAATTAATTATATCTGACTATGTTGATCTTTGTATCTCTCTAAATAGCCGGCTCATGAGAAAATTGGAGTCGTAGATTCACAGTGGATCATTCATCAGGTGGTTCCTTCGCTTGGAAACCAGGTACGAGGACAACCCAAAGTGTGTTGCTATGGCTGAGTGTCTTGTGAGAGCTTCTGTGATTGTTCGTCATATAGGCCCTCCTCATTTGACATTCTCTTTCTACTTGGCAGGGCCAGTCAGATAACGGCAAGGCACCATGGGAAGGGGTAAGTGGCTTCTCTCTCTCTCTCTCTCTCTCTCTCTCTCGCTTGTGCCTGTGACCCCCAATCGGAATGCTGTTGGATTTATTGTGCCCTCCTAATGCTCCAAACGTCTCCTGATTTTTTACAGGTCAGAGAGAGATGCAAAAAAGAGTGGGGGATATTTCGGAAGCGATTGTCGGAAGCTGAGAAGGCATATTATCTTTCAAAAGGGATCAGCCCCCCGAACTCAACAGGCGTTTAAATTCATGTATTATTTCTTTTCCCTTCATTCATCGGTTGGTTATTGCGTGTATATAGAGATCTGTCGCTCTATATTGATATATTATTGATCCTTGCGTTTTCACTCCACAGTTCCAATATATTCTTTTTAATCTTTTATGAGAAGGTTGACAGGAAATCCTCCAAGATAAAACAGAGAGCACAGGAGACGCTTCAGGTACACTGGAAAAGAACATATGCTAGTTCGGTTAGAAAGCGTCGGAATCCATTATATTGGACATGCAGCGCAGCAGCCCTTTGAGGTCTTCTTCTGCTTCCTTACGGCGTATTCATGAGCACTTTTCAATCTCGAAACCATCGCCACCAATTTAAAGGACTTGAAAGTGTCGAGGCGAATGATCTTTAAAAGCAATCAATGTCACATCCTTTGTTAAAGTGCTAAGATAAAAAAAAGAAGGAAAATTTTAATATTTAATGGAGCATACATAGCCATTCCATTCGAACAAAAACCTGCAATTGTCCATGAGAGGCTTTTCATCCCACCCTCCGAACAATCCACACCACCAAAATTTCTGTACTGTGCTCCTCGTGATACAAAAGATTTGCTCTCGACAGCCTCTTTTGGTTGACTCAGCTGATGATATGCATTACGAATCAATCAAAGGTGCTTCTGTGCACATAATATATGCCACTCAGCTATTCATTTCATTGCCTGGTCACCAGCGGACAAAACTTCATCCATGGCAGCAAAGTGGGGCCAGGTTTTTCTACTTTTCTCATTTCTTCTACTTTCCTGCCATACAAAAAATGTAATATGATCAATAAATTTATACTATAATTTATACATTTTTCGATTAAAAAAAAGAAGACAACCCCTATAACAAATTTATACATTTTTCGCAGCATTTCCCTTTCAAGAACTAACCAGAATAAATAATTCGAAAATAAAAAATGTGCCACTGAAAGTAGCCCTAAGTAGCAGAGAATTGAAGGCGTAAACAGAAAAGATACCTCATATTTCTGAACCAGTGATGCCCAGAGAGACTTGCATTGTGCGGGACTACGATTTATTCCATCGTTTAACATATCAGTTGATATCTCTTCCCAGAGAACCATTCTCGCTTTAGCACTCCGGAATTTGCTATCCAATCCAGCACGTAATATTATCAGTCTTTGCACCTCCTCAGGCTTCCACTTATTACGCTTTGCAGATTTCTTAGCATTTAACAATCTGCTGGGCTCCTTGCTGCCAGGTGTTACGTTTTTATCAACACCCATATTCTCTTCCAAACCACAGTCACTAGCTGTTGTCTGTTGGACAGAAGAAGATGCTTTGACAAGTTCAACAATATCGTCTGGTTCTTGGGATGCATGAGAAGATAATTCATCTTGGTCAGAGTTTTTAGTTGCAACCTCAGGCAACGTTTGATCAGCATCAAAACTCTCGCCTACAAAAACAGAGATCAAATAGTTTCAGAAGGCTAAGGTATACAACAAACATCAAATTTATGGATGGCATGGATAAGAACAACAGAAGCCCACATATCAAGCAATAAATCTACCGACTAAGCTATTAACTAAAGCTGCTAAAAGAATATTATATATTTCTAAACAACTAAGAGCTAATTGTTAAAGAAACAATACATTTCTCCTCCATAATGGTACCTTCAGAAGAGTCCATTTCTATGTTGTTCACATCGATGGCAGAATCCCCAACTTCATCAAGCTGCCTGCTTGAAGGCAAAGAATCACTATATTCATTGAACTGTCTACTTGAATGCTTTGTTGCACGCATATTGAATGCCTGAGCAGCAGCAGAGAGCCCAAAACTACCACGAGATTTTCCAGATAATCGAGTCTTCAATTCTTCAGTTACAACTCCAGTGGTGTTCTCCACTGCAATTGCAATGACATCAGGCCTTTTGCTGCTGTATTTCCTAACAATCTTCCTTAATACTTCAGATACGATTCGTTCCATGTGAGCCAGCGGACAATTCACAGGACAGCTTGAGAGTGCAGCGTATGCAGCTTTATACAGAGCATCCAGAAGCTTTCCTCTATCTAGCCATAAACAACGCGTGGTGATTCTTATTTTTCCTTTTAAACATGCTTGTGATGAACCATTTACAGCTTGAGGGCGCAAAATCTCCATGCTGGTAAAATAAGAATAAGCAATCGTTGAGAATTATTATCCTTAACAGTTATGAATAATTATTACTAGATAAATGATGGAACTATATCTGTCAACCAGAAAAAGATTATAAAAGATCCTTCAGCATAGAAGACAACAGAAATAAAATAATATCTTAAACTTGGTTGCGACCCATCAAGTCTCAATTAAAGAGAACTTGAAATGCATGAAATTTAAATCAAAACAGAAGAATGGAATGACCATAGACAGAACAATGAAAGGCAATGAAACAAACATATTGTTACATATTCTAATTTACAACACGATGTTTCTTTCCTGATCCATCATGTTGCTGTAGATAGAATCATATACATGGAATCAAATGAAAAAAAGAAAGAATGAACAGCTAGAGATCTAGAATATAAGTATTGCTTTACCTTTCTATTCTCATGGGAATGCAAGAACACGGTCAATATGGACCGTGTGTCCACTAATGTGTGCAATACACAACTTTTTACAGTGGAAATGAATAAGCTTCACTATAAATAGAACAAAAACTATAAAGCGAAAATGAATTCCAGTTTTCTATTTAAACCAATGAAATCTAGAATCTCCAAGAAAATGTGGCATCAGATGGTACCCTGCAGTGTATAAACTTTACAGACAACAAACTTATATTCTTTAAGGAATTTGAATGAATATGTCAGAATTTGCATATTTAACAGTCTTATACTATCAAATATCACAGTATGTCAGTAACTAAACCAACAATATCTATTTTCACCTGTAAAAACAGACTTGGCTAAAAAATATCTAAAATAATGTGTTAAAATTCAAAATATATCCAGTACCTGACAACTATAATACCATCAGATGCAATTCTTAACCTCTCATCAATACAAAGTTCAGCTGACGTTCCAAATGCTTTATCACCATCACTATACATCAACTGCCATGGATGATTATGTGTTACAAACAAATCAACATCACAAAACAACAAAGAACAATTGAAAATCAAACCTCTAATGCCTCCTTTCCTAGTGAAGAAAACCCATTGGACAGAACTCTCCTGTTCCGGAGATGTGAAACACCAAGCATCTCTCCGTTCTTTATTACCTGCAATCAAAAAGAACAACTGCAAATGCATAAGGTGTTCACGCCAAGCTTACATGATAAAATAACACAAAACTACAATTGTGTTATTTTAACACAAAGCTTGCATAAGGTTCACGCAATTTGCTTGGTCCATGTACTGGTTGGCCATCAAACTGATATATGTTAGTCCATATTGACCAATATGTTCACGATTTGATTCCATTGCCCCACCCAACAGACATAAGTTATGGGCACAGATAGGTACCATGCATCACTCACTTAAAACAAACAAATTTAATTGTTGGATTAATAAAATAATCTTTAGCCATTGGCTACCAAAATGTAAATTTGTGTGAGCTAGTAGTCAGTTCTTTGCTATGCAAAATAGACATGTTACCATGTTTTAGCTAATCCACAATGTGCAACCGAGCTGACATCTATTTTGATTGGAACTAATGATCTTGGAATCATGTTGGCATTTTAAATAGTTGACATGAAAAGAAACACCTAAATGACAGTAATATGAAAAATTGGAATCGTACAGGGAAATTTTACATTGAGACTGCCAGGAAAATTGGTTATCTTCCAGGCTAGACAATTTTACATTGAGACTGCCAGGAAAACATACAATTTGAAGTTTGAACATTGAACAGATAACACAAATTAAAATAAAAATTCAAAATGACAAATAACAATCAACATACATGTTCAGGCTGGAAATAGGGCATTATTTTTTTTTTCCAAGTGACAAAAATCATAACCAAACCACACTGACTACTACATGTTCTACAAAATATTTAACTAGTGAAGAAAATAGTAGAAATAATGATGATCTAAGGCACAGATTCTTGGTCAAATCATTCAAGTAATAAATGACTTACAGCGGTATGCCGTATCCCAGTGGATCTTCCAAGTAATTCATGCTCTTTCAAAAACAACAGTTCCCCATGAATGGGTAGAAAATGTTGAGGTTTCACAATTTTAAGAACTTCCTCCTACAAAATTTAATAAGATTACAGTTTTGTTTAGATTCATCTTGTAAGTTGAACATTTACATGGAAGGCTGAATAACAGGCCAACCTAAATAATATGAAAAGTTACAAATAAGTGTCAAAGAAAGAAAAATAATGCAGATACCAATTCTCCACGGTAGGCATGGCCAGATGTATGCAATCCAGCATTTTTGCCCATTATGATCGTTGGACCAAGCTCTGATATGCGGTTTAGCATCTTCATCACTCGAGTCTCATTTCCAGGAATTACCTATAAAAAGAAAACCATGTCCAATCTGTTAAAAAAACCATAAACAATGGCATTATGTCACCAATATAATGCTGTTAAAAATCAGGCAGCAAGGCAATTTGGGAAACAGATACGAACAAAACAATAAAGTATAAAATTGGAGTTTCCAAGTGCAAGAAGACAATGACCAAAAATATGGAAACAAAAGGCATGGTAGTATCCAAGAAATTGATAATTACCTTAGCAGAATATAAAACAACATCATCTTTTCCCAGTTTTAGAGAATGGCTGCTGCCAAAGGATGCAAGATTTAGTGCAGCTCTTGGTTCTGCCTGACACAATGATCAACGCATTTGCATGCTATTGTAAATTTGTGATGATCTTTGTGGACAATACATTTAATTATATTGTTGTGACAGCATCACACAAAATTTCATGTCCCCAGATAGACAGCAAGAACATCTTACTTGAGAACCAGTTGTCACAATCAACAAATCTTTTGGGGCATAAGCATCAATATCCTCTGCTTTCACCTACAAAAAGTTTGCCACATTGTTAAGTTGAGAGAAAATATTACACAAAAAATAGCCATATAGAAAGAAAAGATGGGAAAATTTTCTCCTCTTGAGTTCTCATTTTTGGACCTCTTTCAGAACATGGAATAAGAAAATTGAAAAAGTTAAGACATGCTAATAACATTTTCCTTACCAAAATGGAAGGATCAATTGGAGCCTTTCCATCCTTGAAAGCGGCATCTAAATAAGTTCTCAGAGACATACCAACTAATACCTGTTGATTAATCATAACTCTCAAAGTATCCAAAATGATTGTGTATCATGTAGTCAGAGAACATTGTCTATCAGGAAAACAATCAAAAGAACTAAAGAATTTGCAGCAGCTTACCATTTTTCGTCCAGTTAAATCAGCAGCAGCTTTGACACTTCCAAGACGATGTATGTTAGAAGCAAATTGTGTAGTTATAACCCTTCCTTTTGCCTCTGAAATGCGTCGCAGTAATGTATCTGCTACAGCTGCTTCACTGACAGATCTTCCAGGTGACAGAACATTGGTTGAGTCACTCATCATCTGTAAAGGAGTCAACAATTTCAGCTCTTTATCCTCCGTTCCAGATTTGTGAAAAAATTCAAAACAATAAGGCATGTCGAACAAATAAAACAAAAAATGAGTAAACACATCCAGAAGAAATAACCTTTTTTACTAATGAAACAACAGACTATCAAATCCTCTAGATGGGAGAAAAGAACTTATTATATTACAATCACCCTAAGCTTGAGACAGGCCTTATGTCATACACCATAAGTCACTAGCATATTCAAAAGATCAACGTGGAACCTCCTCGAGCTTCAATGCTTGGATCTATCAAAAACTATGTTAACACTAAAGGCTGTGGTACATAGATAAGGCTAATGGCATGAATAAAAAAAGCATGATTGGCAATATGCATTAAAGATTGAGGATTGCTTCATTTGTGAATGCCAGGTAAGAAAATGCAAGTTGACAAAGTTCCATTAGATATTTAACTTATAAGACTGTTGAATTCTTTAAGAGAACAAAAGCTAATCCACATAAAAGTATGATGTCACCAACTCTATGGACTGAAGAAAGCACGAAGATAGAGGCCATCAAGAGAGTACATGAAACTATTTGACTAAGATATTCAGCTTGAATTTATGAAAGTAGAAGTTTTAGAAAGATTATTTATGTGGAAATGAAGGATGAATGCCTGACTGATCTCTGACATATAACAGAAGTTGACCCATGTGATCAGATGATTGTGTCTGAGAACATAACTTCTCGCCTCTATGTATCCACGTGATCAGATGAATGCCTGGTTGATCTCTCGCAAATAACAGAAGTCGACTCACGTGATTAGATGATTGTGTCTGAGAACATAACTTCTCCCCTCTCTGTACTCTCTTCTTTTACAAATACAGTATTAATGATGTTATAAATTTTCTGATGTTGAGACTGTTATTGAGAGTAATAATGTATATTGACCCCCAAAAAGTCATTTCCATTATAACAAGAAAATATAAATGAAGGGAAAAAAAAAAATTCCTCTTTAGTAACAGTACAGCTTTCAATATCTCACTCCTTCCACTAGAATCTGAGGTCCATAATCCATTATAGATGCCAAGTAATGGATAGGTCACACCTTCATTTACAAGACGATCTAAGTGCTAGGGTTAATGGTTGGTGAACACTCAAGCGAAAGAAGACCAAGGGAAGCCAAGAAAAGCAACATAAAACTATGACGTGACAGGACATCTTCTGAAGAGAAGACAAAATACAAGGATGAATATAAACAAAAGATCAGTTTTTGTTACTTTGTTCAACACCAAATGAATCATTCAGGGAGATACAGTCAATTAAATGAGATGGGATAAAGAACAAATGACAAAATCTCAACTTCCACTAGTTTTTTTTTTTTTTTGTGCATCTCCTCCAGTGATCCTCAACTCCTTAAACATTAGCTTTGAGAGCAAGCCTTAGTTCTTTGACAAGAGAGATAAATTGTCAAAGTTTTACCAGCTAAACTAGCAAGTCTTTAGTGGTAGAGATTTTATGTTATATTACTTCAAACCTCAAAAGAAATTCAGCAAATAAAAAACAGAACTTTTGTCTAAACAGCTCTTCTAAAACATAAATGACCACACATTTCACTGTTGAACAAGCAACAATAATCAGATTACACCATATTGGGCTTCATAAAGTAAAGTGTTTATAAAGTATCCAACAGAAAAACAATTTATCCACAGATAAAAATAACAATGTCCATGAATGAAACTTTCTCCCAGACACTAACAGAATCTAGGATCAATATCTTTAAATAAAAGTTGGACAAAGGGGAGAGGGTAACTAACAATCAGAATTGTAGAAGTCCAATATTACGAGTAAAACTTACCAAAGTCACCCCTTCTTTGGAAAGTTGCTCCAATGCAACACGGTCAAAAACTTTGCCATCTAGTGGTGACTCATCAATCTACAAAAGCACTTGTTATACTTGAGTCATTAGAAGGAAAACAAGCTGATAGAGGCATGACAAGAAAAGCAGAAATATTACCTTCCAGTCACCAGTATGAAAAATAGTACCATCACTGCAGCGGAGCACCAACCCACAGCAATCAGGGATTGAATGGGTTACTCGGATGGGCTCCACTTCAAATGGACCAGCTTGGAACTTCTTTCGAACTTTAAATTCCTTAAGCCTGGATGGAACAAAAATCCCAAACTCCTTCAAACGTCTCTTGATCAACTGTCCACAAATAGCACAAAGTTCATTGAAGTAAATGTCATATGGATGCTAGAAAGAGATCTTCAGAACAAGAAAAATTCAGACTGGGAATATAGTGACAGAAGAAATCGCATGGACATCATAGAGAATTTACTCATTTCACTCAAAAAAGAAGGTATAGGCATAATCACCAAATGTAATACATTGCCTAAGGATTGCAATTGTTGGATAGGTCTGAAAACTACAACCTTGCCTTACCAAGATGTAACAAATATTTCCCACCCACCAATTCTTGTTACTAAAGTAAAAAAATGGAGAAAACAATTCTAGAAAGTAGAAACCCAAGTAAAAGAAAGGAGGTGGGATTGGGAAAAGAACTAAGCCTTTTCAACACAACATAATGATTCACAAGTCTTTTCCTTTATGTAGCAATTATTTTCTTCTTTGCCCAGTTATCAGCTCCTAAACCATGCTTGAGTCAATAGCAAAGCTATGCTGGCTTCTACTTTGGCAAACCCACGTTTGCAATCTGGTTAACTTGGTGTACCCAAAGAGGTCCAGGTAATTTTTTTCCATTCCCATAAGATTAGAACCAAAGAATCTTGATGTCCAATTTATTATAAATTTCCTAAGCATAAAGAAACCCTTTACAGTGTAAACCATGACAATAATTAAAACATGTTCACTACAAAGATATGCCTACCTCCATTGTAAAAGATGAAGCAAAAATTGGAGTGTGGGAGTCCAGAGCTGGTATAACCTGTAAACATGCTCCAAAAAAGCAGAAACAATCAGAGCAGCAGAACTAAATAAGTAGCATGTCGACATGATCTAGACAACTTTTGCAAGACAGATAAAGTTCATATATCAAATTACACATAATACATACAAAGGATTATCTCTAAAGAACAAACCATATATGAAAAATTGGAAACAGAGCAATTTTTTGAAATATTTCAAACTGCAGAAAAAATTAATTTAGATAAAATGAAGTATAAGCATAATTCCTACTACAAAAAGCTATTTTAGACTCTAACAATAGTTGCAATAAAGCAGCCACCTCTACTAACTTGCTATGTTATCCACTCATACGAAGTCAGTATCTACCGAGCAGAAAACAGAACTGCAGTTCAGCTAAAGTAAGTGGATTGGAGACACAGGAAAAACTGTATTGGGGCTTTAGTATGACTCTTTTCTAGGTTTAGCATTAAATCATGGTAAATCAAAATAAAACATTCCTGCTTTTCTCTTATTTTAAATAAATTTTCATCATAATTTTTTCTATTGCAATAAAATTGTCTAGATTTAGTGTATCTGGGATGCATGCTTTAGAAGCACTTCATACTTTGCTGTCCGGAACTCCAGTCTAAGGATGTATGTAGCTGCTGAATATCTAACCAACTTAAGAAAAGTTCTCGGACATTCTTTTCAAAGAGAAAGTTTGTCCTATTTTTTAAGAGTAGAGTGGCATGCGTCTTTCTTGAGCCTTTTTTACTTCAAAAATAAATCTTCAAGGTTGGTAAAGTAATTTTTCTTATTTTAGGTTCATCTTATTAGTATCTGGAATCAAGCTTTGTGTTTTATGTCTGGATTTTAGCTAATATGTTGTCCATGGAAAGGACAATTTGGTTCCAGAACAAGCAGGAAGCTAGGCCATGTAACTATTATAAGAGTCTGTCATCTTTGGCCAACCATTGCCAAATGAGAAAGGAAAACCGTGGGATACTAAAGTGGGCCACCCAGATTGAAAATAAGAATGTGGTTTGCTACATAATCTTTTAACTCTATGTTTGTTTCCAAGAAAATAAGAAATGAAAGTCCACCAGGAATTCAGCTGCAAAAGATAATTAAGGAAGAAAAATGTAAAGAGAAACCTTGAGTAAAATTTCACTATCCACGATTTTTTCCTCCCATGAAGGTAAAGTGATATTTCAAGGAAAATCATCTACCCATTCATTTTTCCTTAGTTTTCTGCACCAACCAAATTCTCTGCAACAAGTCAATGTGGCCGACCCCAAAATAGTTGAGACATTACTGCCGGTTGATGGTTGTTATCATTGATCTTTCTACAACAAGCAAACAACAAAATATCTTCACTTTCTCTTTCCTTTCTTTTTATTTTCTTCTCATTTTTACATATTTTTTTAATCACTTTCACTCTCTTTGGGAGGAAGATAATAGTCCTAGATGAGAGAAAAACCACTAACCAATCGTTTCCTTAACTGATATATATAGTAATTTGATTTTATTCCTTTTCTTTCTTTCTGAGATTAAAGCTCACCTAGATGAGATGCGACACCACTTACAAAATATACATTGGTTTTATTTGATTTTTTCAGCGACCCACGAACCCTTTCTGTTTCTGTAAGACTACTGGCCTGGTTCAGTATCTATTTCTTATCCCTCTGGTATTCTACTCTTCATACTGTTCGGCATTTGATTATCACAGCAACAACAGAAAGTTTTCTTCTTTAACAGTCATCTATATTTTGTGCCAATACCCCTGATGCAGCATAAACTTTCGAGTCTTGTTCTGAGGAATTCTCTCTTTAGTCTGCTGAAGAACTTATTTATTCCCGATTAGACTATCACAAACATAGGTGCCATAAATCAGGCTCAAATCCAAAAATTTAAAGTTGGGAAAAAAAATCAAAGTACATCCAAAGTTGTTGTTGGATCAACTTATTTCGGAATATGTATCTTACTAAATTTAGCCCAGGCAAACACTTCCAAATGAATCGACTAACTCAAAGGCACAACTTTGGCTAATGACTGCCTGGAATTACTCAAAATCCAACAGAATCATTGGCCATAGAGACACATTTGTAGTATCATTTTCGGACATTTTCCCGTTTGATTCTCTTAACTCACTCTGAAAATATGGCAGAGGTATCCGAAAAAGAAAAGGCACATGATAAGAAATTTACACGAGCATCGCAAAAGATGGAAGGTCAAGTAATAAAATATTACTTGACCTTAAAAAGGCATTCTCAAACTTACGTGGAAAAGGTGTGAAAGCCAATGATTTATAACAATTTCCATACAGAATTTTAAATTTTTGCAAATAAAATAATCAGTTACAATTACCAGATCTATTGCATTTCAAACAAATTCCATTGAATGCATGGTGAGAGAACCACATTAGCACCCACATAATGTAAGAGCTTCAAGCAGAAGATAGAAAACTTTACCCAAGGCAACGCACCGATGTGATCCTCATGGCCATGTGTTATAACAAGTGCTTCAATTTTATGGCTCCATCTTTTGATAAATGTTGTATCAGGTACAATCTTCTGGACTCCAAACTCATCATAACTGATATGAATATAGGACGTAATTAAAATGAAACCATTTAGAATGCGAGAGAAAATGTACACAAAAGTATGCAAGTCATCTAGAAGACTAAAAGAAAATTGCAAGAAGCACATGTGGACCAGTAAATGCAATGGTGATAGCACAAAGAAAAGAAACGTATGAACTGAATGCACATGCCACCACCAAGTAACAATAGCTAGTTAGCACACATAAAATGAGGGAGAACCCATGAACTTTATCGTAAATTGAATATAAGAAATGTCATGCCTACATGCCAAAATATGAAGCGAGAAAAGACATGCATAAACAGACCATGAGAGAGAGAGAGAGAGAGAGAGAGAGAGAGAGACTGTTTGCCTAGTTACTTTTATCTTGAATGAAACAAAAGAAAAACCAATAATTCTAACCATTTGCATGTTTTATGAAAGGGACACGTGCAGATGAAGATTTTATCCATATCAGAAAAAGTACCAATTCATTAATTTAACTTTTCCATAGTAAGATACAAAATGTGAAGGAGACACCCTGTTTTTCATCATGTTTACTGTTTCTATGTATTTTAAGAGCAACCTCATGTTTCTTGATATTTAAAATGTTCAGATAAAAAGTGTCATGGTTCTAAAGATCACAAAGATCCAATACTAGCCAACAATTATAGGGGTTTCAAGACTGCACAACTACAGACAAATTTAAAAAGTTACTGATTACCAAAATTACTAATGATGCAGTTTAATTTCTGAACATACTCTGGGAACATGATGCCTGCATCAATTAAGATATAACGGTCAAAGTTGCCTACGAGCATGCAATTCATTCCAATTTCACCCAGACCACCTATTGGAAGAACACGGAGTGGTGGGCCATCTAATCCTTCATAAAACTGTTCAAGTTTGCGCTGCACAGAGTCTTCCATACTTTTCCCTGCTCCATCGGTCCTTCTAGATCTTCTACGTGGTGCTTTTGATTCTCGGGCACCTATCAATACAAAGAAAAAAAATTCAAAATAAAACCCAAAATATGATATATGACATGAGAAGGAAAAGAAAAATAAATTAAACCGAAAAAATGGTTAAAGAAAATCACAAAATGATTCTAATCAATTAAACTTCTTTTCTTTAACTTCCAAAGTGAAGGTCATATGAATAACGCTACACGAAAAGAACAAAGGGTTTGAGTTTTTAAATTGGCAAATTTTGGTTAGATGAGAAAGAAAAGAAGCCAACCAGCAAGAAATTGACAAATGATTCTAAGCAATTAAACTTCTTTTCTTTAACTTCAAAGTGAAGATCGAATGAATAACGCTACAAGAAAAGAACAAAGGGTTTGAGTTTTTAATTAGCAAATTTTGGTTAGATGAGAAAGAAAAGAAGCCAACAAGCAAGAGATGCATTGACGCATCGACAATGATCATAGCTTTACAAAACAAATATTGTCAAGAAACGAATTGGTCACACAATAAATTCAAGAAAACACCCCAAGGTCCCTTTACCTAGCAGCTATTGATTCACGAAACCGTTTCAAAGGGCAAATGTCATAGGTAGAGATGGCATCAAAGTGTTGCTTCGAGAAACAACATCTAAAACCCTGAGCACGCAGTAGTTCCACAAAGATGAGAATGGAAAGAAGCCAACCAGCAAGAGATGCATCAAAGCATCGACAAAGATCACAGATTCTTGAATCCCAAGAAATGAATTGGTCACACAAGAAACTCAAGAAAACACCCCAGAGTCACCATATTTAGCAGATATTGCTTCAAGAAATCGTTTCAAAGGGAAAATGCCAAATGTATACAGACACAGGAAGAGAAAAAAGGATTGAAGTTTTCGAATTAGCAGCATGTTACTTTGGAAACAACATCTCGAACCCTAAGCACGCAGTGGTTCGACAAAGACGAGAACGGAAAGAAGCCAACCAGCAAGAAATGCATCGAACCGTCGACGAAGATCATAGCTGATAGAGACAAATATTGCCAGGAAACGAATTGGTCACGCAAGAAATTCGAGAAATTCACCAGAAACTATTGATTAAAGAAATCGTTCCAAAACTTTCCCCATTGTTTCCTGGATGAAAACTCGATCACTAGCCAAGTCCAACAAAGGAGGGAACCCCCCACGCCTGTTGATTCAAGAAACCAAGCCATACAAGGGAAAACAAGAACGCGAACCTGCGACCGGGGGAGGAGATCCAAGGGAGCACCACACGGCGGTTCTTGGAATCTTGGGCAGCCGGGAGACGCCGCAGGGGCAGAGAGAGGGGAAGGCGGAGAGAGAAATCATGTGGTCCCCCGCCGAGAAAGAACCGGGGAGGACTCGAAACCCTACAACAGCGCCGGGGAGAGGTCGCCGCCTCGGATTGGGGAGGAGCGAGGAAATGGGAGCGAGCAGAGTAGGAAGTGACCCTTCTTCGCCGCGGACGGGTGCCGAGCGGAAATATCTCCTTATCGACTTTGGTTGATGGTTAGGGAAATCTGCTTTGAGATTCGTGTTACAGATATCCTAGCCACTTATGCTTGGCTTTGCGGGGACTTATGCTTTGAGAGTCGTGTTACAGATATCCGTCGGCCGCTGTGCTTCGACTCCCAGGGTTTATAGGCGATTCAGCTTCAAGATTCGTGTTGCACGAAATCCGCTGTCAACTTATGCTTCGGCTAAGTGGGGTTTATTGTTGATTCTGCTTTGAGATTTGTGTTGCACGAAACCCACGGTCCCCACACAAGGCTGCGGTAATCTTAAAGCACTATCTCGCCAACTTTTAATCTTTGAAGTAACTCCATAGTTCTTTTGAGAACATGAGACTGTCCCACATAAATAAATAAATATATATATTATATATATATATATAATAATAAATAAATAATAATATTAATTGAGTAGTGGTTTAGTTAACAATGAATAATATTAATAAGGCCAAGAACTAAGTTTACTTTTCTATGACCTTAATTTAAGACTTTGACATCAATCAATCTGTTTATTCATGTGAAACTATATACATTGATCTTACATTAAAAAGTCTAATTTTCATGTGAAAGTTTGACCAAAGATGTATAGTATCCTACTCTCCAATCTTACTTCATTCACCAATTTTGGATGGATTAGCAATAATTTCATAAATAATCTCGTTTGATTTCGATTTCAAATATTATTGTGTTTCGAGGATTATCCGTAACACAATTCTGAATACCTAATAGAAATTTCATCGAGGAGTATCCGTAATATAATTTTGAGGATTTTAAATATTCTCATGAATTCCAATAGCCCTTTTGAATCACAAAATTCTCTTGCCATATATGAAATATCATTGTCATAAGCATACCTAATAGAAATTCCAAGGTGATGATAGGAGCTATATTAAATTATATTTAAGCATCTTTTAATGAAAAGTCAACCCAAGTTGCTTCATTGCATTGCATGGTACCCTTCTATTCCCTATGTTGGAGTTGCATGAATTAAATATGCAAGAGTTAATGCCTCCCATGCTCATGTATTCCTTCCATATGGGTCAGCCTAACCTAAGGCAACACCACCAATGATTCTCCCAAGCAAACACACACACACACACAAGCATATCATGAGGCTTTAGTTAATGGTTCTGCTACCTCATGAATGAAGATGAAATGTGCATAAAGATAGAAGAGTTGGTGCTCCTATCACATGAAAAAGAGTATTCAAATGTATCTAAGTGGAGGATCACTTGTTTGCCATGTTACTCATCATATGTTCCATTTGCTGTTGGACCATATCAACCAACATAAGCGAGACAAATATAAATATACGAATATCAATTACACGTGAGTATGGTGTCGTAAGGTACGAAGGCATTTTATATTCTCCTTATAAATATGAGTCACGAATCGATCGAACACTTCTCACCCTATACCCATGCTCTTACGTGATATATTAATACATCTAAAACTTTTGTTATTTAAATTAGACCAGACGAATCTTAATTGAATCGATTACGATTCAATCAAGAATCATTTCGTTCAATTGAATCAAACAAAATATTTATTAGTTCAAGAATAATAATTTCTCTAGTAGTACGCACTCAATTCCTAATAAAAAAGATTGTTTTATTTTGTCTTCATCGGTCCTCATCTTTTTATTAGCAAATGATGATTCATCATATGATCAACAATCGTAAATAATAAATAGTGAACATTAATAATAATTTTTTAGTATTTTTTTTTTCTCTTTTTTCTCTTTCTTTTCCCATCGCATACTCACTTTTTCCTCTCCCTTTTCTTGACATTCTCATTGTTTAAAAAGCTTTAAATGATATAATAGGAGGATATGAAAAATCCATAAATTTTTCGTTAATACCTCGTTTAAATGAAAAATGAGATAAGGATAAGACGAAGATAAAGATGGGTGATCTATTTCCCATAGTATCCTCGCTAAAGCAAAACTTTAATCTCTAATATATTAATAATATATTTTTTTTATTGCTTATTATTGTAATTGACCAAGTCAAGGAGACAAGTTTTGATCCATCTATGTGCTTTGATCACTTTCCAATTAAGAAGTCATCATGTGCTTTGATCCATCAATTAATCTATCAATGGACTTGTATGCTACCTACTAACTCAAGGTTTTAGGAATAGTGGTGGATGACACAAACAAAGTCCTTTCACAACCATCACTTCTTTTTGTAGGTCATACATACTTTCTATTGTATATATATATATATATATATATATATATATATATATATATATATATATATATATATATCACAATAATTGCATGATATCATGTGAGATAATAAACCATGTTTAATTATGGCGTCGAAACACGCACCTAATCTTCCGACACCCAGAAGAGACGACCACTGGTGCTTATCCGGATGAGCGGGCCCACTGCCGCGCGGTGTCCAATGAACGGTCCAGATTGCTTATCCTTTTCGGATAAGAGGGTATAGAGTGGCTGTTTTGCCACTTTTTACCCTCTCGTGATTTGAGGAAGCCGTGGACGTATCCAATCACAACGCAGGTAGGAAGGCGAGTAATAGTAAATTTTTTTTTATTTTTTTCGTTGCGGGATAGCCACACGACCGTCCGTCACGAATCGGGCAGTTGTCGTCCGTCCGATCATCGTCAAAACTCCCCGCGTTTACCAGCGCCGAAAGAATGATCCCCGCCAAAACGAGCGACGAACAAGCTGCCACGTGTCAGATCATGTAGGTCGGAAGAGCCGACAGCGGAAAGAGCAGTGTTCCGTAAACACCCATATAGTTAGCGTAAATAACGATCGGATCAGCGGAAGACTAATGATACAAGAGCCACTGCGAGGGGTACTTTTGCTTCTGCAAGACGACAAGGAGGTCGGCAGGCCGCGGTTCGAGGGGACAAAGGAGAGCTGATTGGAGCCGTCCGATCGGTGGATCCCGCAATCAATTATTGATTCCGGCCGCTGGATGTTGCCTGGAAGAAGCAAAGCACAGATGAAGCCATCCCCACGTGGTAAAACGACAATATTCTTTTCGTACCCTTTATCGATATTACCGTCTCACGTACCGTCTTATTGTTGGATTATTTAGTGGGTCCCGATAAGATTTCGTAGATGTGAAGGTACATGAGCTAGTGTTGTTCTTAAAGGTCTATCGAGAGTTTAATTTAGTTAAGAGAGAGAGTAGAGTTGTTTAATCTACAAATATTGTGCTAATAATTGCCCCTAATTATATGTAGAGAGAGACGAGAGAGAGGAATAGTGGATGGAATGCGTCTCGCTTTGCTCTCACTCCTCTGCCTCTGCTCGCAAAGAGAGCGCCTTTTATATTAGGCCTACTCGTGCATTCAACGAAGGAACCCTCTTCCTAATTAACGAGGTGGAGGCGCTGAGATCTCAATCTTCTTGTCGCGGAATGCGTCCTGTCATCTGAATTATCGTTTCCAGCGCTAGCGATTGGGACGTGGCTGTTCTTTCGGTACGTCTTTGATCGATTCACGGGATGTGAATGTTTCTCTAGGTGATTTATTTCATTCTGGAGCATCGGAGACACGGGAACTCGTGTTCTCCGGTTATTTCCAGTTGGAAAAATGCCTTTTTTGGTCGTCGAATTTGGATCTAGCTTTCTGTTCTCGTGTATTATTCCGTGAAGGCTTGTGCTTTCGGCTTTGTCAGAAGATGGGGTTTAGGGGAGGGGTATGCTTCAGAGCTTTGTTGGCTTTGTTTGAACTTATTGTCTCTTTTCATTTCCCTCCCTATCAGTTGATTCACCCTGTCGAGGGAGAATAATGGATGCGGCCGAGGTCGAGGGGAATCTATTCGTTGCTGGCGACGCAAAGGTATTCTTTTGAATCCGCTTTCAGGTCATCTAATTTGGGATTCACCACGAATCGAGAGAAGATTTATATCATGATTGCTTGATTCTTTTTGTTTGTTGTTTTTCTTGCCCTTCTTTTGAGCGAGAAAACTCCTTTTCTTGATGGTTTCATGATTTCAAAGTTTCACACACCCTGTTGCAATGCCTACAAGACAAGGCGTGTTAACGAATTAATGTCGTTTTGTTGACTTTCTGCAAAGAACATTAAGAGAATATCCCTGAATTTAAATTTAAATTTGGCGATTAAACTTCGTATGTTCATATATATATATATAATTATATTTATATATATATCAGAAAATGGTGTAGTTGGAACAATTGTTTTCTCCTCGAGGTAAGTGACTTGTTCTGTGTGTAAGCAGGTACATGGAAGAATGTTTAGGGTGCTCCATGCAGTTGTTTGTAAGGTGTTGGAGATCTTTCCGTTAATAGAAGCAGCAAGACCCAGAAGTAAGTCCGGCATCCAAGCACTGTGCTCCTTGCATGTTGCACTTGAGAAAGCCAAATGCCTACTTCAGCATTGCTCAGAATGTAGCAAGCTTTACCTGGTGAGTTTTCTTTTCACATCTGCTATGTACGCCCTGCTGATCTTGGCCATATGGAATTGACATGAAGATAGCCTGTTTTTCGACAGTATGTACTTCTCCTGTAGGTTATGTTCTGTACTGAACATTTTTTCCTTGTGGCAATAACTTCATGTTAAATTGGCAGAACAAATTTGTATGGATTAGAATTAGTGATTATCTTTGTCGTTACTCGTTAGAGGATCTAATTCTCTGACGACCTTAATCTACTCAAACATTATTCATTTAAGAAATAGGAATGATCACATCCTATATCTAAGGATCTGTGCCACATTTGGAGCCTTAAACTGTACAAGCTGCTTATATGTTTGCCTAACTAATGAATTTGATCTAATTAATTGGGTTTCTTTTTTTTTTTTCTCCTTCTTCCTGGTCAAAATTTAGCTTTCCTACCACGGAGCTGTTACTTTGAGAAAATAGGAACATGAGGCGATATTTTCCAACAATCCATAATAAGATTGTTATGGTAGATCCTGTTCGATAGCACTGTTTTATTTTATGAATCGTTTATATTATGTATGTGTTGATGTCTTAGGCAATAACTGGAGACTCAATTGTAACAAAGTTTGAAAAGGCAAAATGTGCGCTTCAAGAAAGTCTTAGACATGTCGAAGAAATAGTCCCAGAACCTATTAGTTGTCAGGTATGCATTTACAGTTATTTGCATATCATTGTATGACAGTCTCATTGTCAAAATTTTGACTAGATTTTATATCAAGAAATTTATATACTCAAAAAATTGAGTTAAACATTTGGTTTGTTAGCTTATGCGAGAGCCAACAAAGTAATCACTTAGAATCTTCACTCGGTTTCTTTTATGTGGAAATGAAGCTAGCCTGATTTAGTGACACTAGGTTGATTTTGCATTTATAAAATAAACCTGATTTTAGTTTTGACTGATGGAGAAATCCTCTGTAATTGGATAAAGCTGTAGAATAATAGGCAGCATTCCACCTCTACCACCATTTAAAATTGATTTTTGGTTGTTCTAATAATAGTTGACAGCTGCTATTCTTTTTTCCTTTTTATACTCAAACTTCAGGCACATGCATGCTTTTGGTGAACATTGGAGCTCACTGAATATTAACTCGGTCCGTTTACTGTTGTCAGGACATTTTACCTGGAAGCTATCATGCAATGTGTGATAGTTAGCAACAATGCTTTAGTATCAGAATATGCATATCTTGACTGAAAGATTAAAACTAGGGCAGTCTAAATGTGTGTAAAATCAGGAGACTACCTTTTTTTAGAGAAAAGTGCTTAACATTGTGCAATTTCATTTCTACTTGTGTATGTTTCATTTTGCTAAATGATTATATTCTTTTCTTGTCATGCTAGATTATTGCAATTGTTGGTGGGCTGGAGGAAACTGTGTTTGAATTGGATCAATCAGAGAAGCAGGCAGGTGAAAAAGTAATCTCGTTGCTTCAGAAAGAGGGCAAATTTAAGAATAACTTGAATGACAATGAAGAGCTTGAACTTTTCCACCAAGCTGCTTCAAGATTGGGGATTACTTCTTCCCGAGCAGCACTGACGGAAAGAAGAGCCCTCAAAAAACTTATCGAGAGAGCTCGTGCTCAGGATGACAAGCGGAAGGAATCTATCGTATCTTACTTGTATCATCTCACGAGAAAGTACTCAAAGCTTTTCAGAAATGAGCATGCAGATGATACTGATTCTCAGGGATCAACTCCACGCTCTCCTACGATACAAGGATTTGAAGATGAATCCAGTCCATGTAGGAATAATCACACGTGCGAGAGACAGCTAACTAAGCCACACTCTTTCAATTTCAAACAAAATGGAAGAAATTCTGGGAATATGCCAGTCCCTCCTGAAGAATTCATTTGCCCCATCTCCTTGCAGCTCATGTTTGATCCTGTCATTGTTTCATCTGGACAGACCTACGAGCGCCTCTGCATTGAGAAATGGTTCAATGATGGCCATAGTACCTGTCCGAAAACCCAGCAGCAGCTATCCCATCTGTGCTTAACTCCAAATTATTGTGTTAAACGACTCATTGTTAGTTGGTGTGAACGAAATGGATTTCCCATTCCAAATGGTCCACCAGAGTCCCTGGATGTCAACTATTGGTGGTTGGCTTTCTCAAAATGTCAAGCCATCGACGCCAGTTCTTTTGGCTGTACAAGCTCTTCCAAATTGAAATGCGTCAAGGTCCTTCCTCCGGAAGAGAGTGGCATTCGAGAGGAGCTCAGAGAGAATGATGCTGAATCTTTAGACGACCACTACCACAATTGCGGATATCGAAACTTGCTGTCAGCTCTCCATGAGGCTGAAAGTGCTCAGAAACAGTTTAGAATAGTTGAGCAGATCACGAATCTGCTGAAGGAGGATGAAGAAGCAAGGATCTTTATGGGTACCAATGGGGCTGTGGAGGTGCTTATACAGTTTTTGAGGATGGCTGTCCACAATGGTGATGAGAAGGCTCAAGAAGCTGGTGCAATGGCCCTTTTCAACCTTATGGTCAACAGCAATAGGTATTAGATCTCATGATAGTTTGCATTCCACTATCAGTGTTCATGATTGATAGGATTTTGCAGTTGGTGCCTTTTGTATTTGGCATTCAACACCAATGTTATGCCTGTTCATTCCCTTGGTTATCAGTCAAACACAGCCTTAACTTTGCACATCAATTACTGCATATATACCACATACTTCATTATCAACTATTTTGGCTATTTTAGTCACTGTAAACTCTCATGACAAATCTTCTTCTATCAGGAACAAGGGAATGATGATAGCAGCAGGACTGATACCGTTGCTGGAACAGATGTTCTCAAATTCTGAAATGTACAAGTGTGTAGTTGCCCTGTACCTCAGCCTGTCCTGTCTCGACGAAGCCAAGCCTCTTATTGGCTCAAGTATGGCTGTTCCTTTCTTGATCCAGCTTCTACGAGATCACAACATCGAAAGAAGCTCCTGCAAGGACGATGCCCTCTACACCTTGTACAACCTCTCCACACATACGCCCAACATCCCTTCCCTAGTATCATCAGATATCATTAACAGTCTCCATCCTTTCCTTGCATTTCCTTCTGCGTCCGAAGGCGTAATGTTGGCCGAAAAGGCTCTGGCCATCTTGATAAACTTAGCAGCAAGCCAAGCAGGAAGGAAGGAAATCACGTCGGCCCCAAGCATTTTCTGTGGTCTTGCGGGGGTCTTGGACTTTGGTGAGCCTGCAGAACAAGAGCAGGTTGTGTGTTGCCTATTGATGCTGTGCAGTGACGATGAGAGATGCAGCCAGATGGTCTTGCAAGAGGGGGTGATACCATCACTAATATCAATATCGGTGAACGGAACAACCAAAGGTAAGGAGAAGGCCGAGAAGTTGTTGAAGCTGTTCCGGGAGCAGCGCCAGCAAGAGCCTTCCCCCCTGAAGCAGCAGCCACAACAGGTCGAGAAGAATGGTGGTCGCGAGATGATTGTAGAGTCCAAGACACTCTGCAAGTCAAGATCGAAGAAGTTCAGGCGGACACTGAGTTCGATATGGAAGAACACGAGTTTTTCGGTATACCGGTGCTAATGTTCTCGGTCCATTGTCATGTAAACATGCTTCTGTATCTTCTCTTTGCTTTTGTTTGTTTATCTTCTCCTCAGGGGTAATGTGGCATTTTCCCTTTGCCTCCCTTCGTAGAAGAGATGTACAGGTTTTCTGTTCTTGTTATGTGTTGCTATCTTTCCGGTAGCATACAGTATCTTGTGTTCTTCGATATGTTCCAGCGAAAAAATTGGTGATTCCTCAAGCGCAAGAAATCTACTGGGCATCATGAACAGAACCAGTACTAAGATAATAACTAGCAATTTCTGCCATCAACTGCTGTTCTCTGTTTCCTCCTCCTTGGTCAGAAAATTACAGGAGAAAAAGACTGCAACAAGATGTTTACAATCTCCGGAATAACTTGTTGTAGAGATTAGCAAATGAAAGATTCACATATATTTGTCAGAAATGCTATCCACAATCTAAATCTCCTCTCGTTATTTACAGTGTCCACCTCAACAATCAGCAGAGCCGACAACGATTACATCGAGACTCCAATTCTCTTCGTTCTTTCCACCAGAATGAAGGCATGGACAAGAACAAAGCAACCGACATCATAATCTCAACGCAAAACCTCCTACGTGATTACCATCGCCATTGCACGCCGGCGATGCTCCTCCGACACCGTCCATGGTCATAAGATGCTGCGTGGGGAAGCAGCAGTGGTCCGGGAGCAGCAGCGCCACCCTGCTGCTCCCCACCGCTTCGATCACCATCAGCACCATGTAAACCAACCCCACGGCGGCGATCCCCATCACAAGACACGCCTCCTGCGTCGGACTTCCCATGAGCACGTACAGAGAGAAGAGGGAGAGAAGGAGCAGGTGAAGATGGAGGCGTACGTGGATGAAAGGGGAGCATGTTCCATACGCTTATATATGCATCGGAGAGCTGGGGATGCATTGAACTCGGGTGGGGGGTATTCAATGGATTCACCTGCCCACAAAGGAAGAGCAATGTTCCGGCGGTGTCTGGGTTCATGGGATGGAATGCCGGAGGTGAAGGGTGAAGCGACAGGTTCAATGAACCTGAAACGATGCGGCTTTCGTGGTGGGCTCCGCCAGATAACGTGGGACCTTCCTGCCTCCTCCCTAGTATCTCATCGGATCGGACCCATGTAGGATTTATATCAGAATCCGACAAATTCACAGATCCAAACTGAGAATCCACGTCATTTCGGGTTTGGATTTTGATGATGGGAATCTTATCGGATTCAATTCGAGTCATTTCGGGTTTTGGATCGGGTACTCAATTATATTCGCATCATCATACCATTACCGGGACTATATAACCCCCCATTTGGAAACGAAGAGCCGAAGCAGTCGCGTGAGGTTCTTCGCGCTTTTCTTCTTTGGGAAGAACTCATTGCAGCGATCGACGCCGAAACTCGAAACCCCCGGTACAACCCTAACCCTAAATATTCCTTCCCCTTCCCCTCACCTGATGGCGGCAAGAGGAACGCCGGTTGCGCAACAACCCGCACCAGCTGTGGTGCCGATGGACGACGTGGTGCAAGCCCTAATCGAGCACCTCGTCGAGCCCCTCCTCCCCGCGAGGGTTTCTTCGGCGGAGCCACCGACGATCGACCAGCAGAACTCCGTAGCCAAACAGGCATGCTATTACTCAATATTTGATCTTCTTGTCTTCTTGGTTGATTCCTGAAGGAGGAGAACCAAAATCTTTGTCACTAATGAGAAGCCTTGTAGTGCGCTGTACGGAGTCATCTCACCAGGAAACCCTGATTTTGGCAATCCAGGAACATTTTCATGTACATGTATACTTTTCCCCGACAATGTAGTGGCGTGACCTATGTCTAATAGGTTCTTCTCACCATAAGATATGTCCAACCGTTTGGAATATTGGATGTACTGAATATAGCATATGTGGTGTAAAATTCCATCGTTATATCAAATTATAAATAGTATCTGAAGTAAAAAGTAGAAAACCAAAACAACCAAGAAACATGGATAGACAAATATCACTCATAAGGAATATGCTTTAATGCTGAAAATTACAAAATCATTTTACCTCCTCCTTAAGCATATGATTGATGATTTCATTATCTGGTTGTGCTTCATGATTGTAAGTTAGCTTTCCAACATTTTACTTACTTTTTGTTTCTATCATCCACTATCCTGGAGCAAATCCTTGAACTTGTTCATCACCACTTAACCAACACATGCTTTTCTAATCAGTATATGGTTACTGTGAGAAAATTCAGTTCAGTTAGCCTTTTCTGTTGTTTTATGATCTTAGAGTTGCCAGCTTCTACTTCAGGAAAGAGGCGGGCATGGGTTGTTTTTAGATATAGCTGGGTCAAAATGATTATAAAATAAGGTCTCTTGTTGTTAGGATCTCACAATGATTGTTAGTTAATCATGCAAAGGTATATGTGAAGCTTGATTGAAGAAAACTTGATTCCACAAAATAAATTAGTGGTATCCAATTTATGGATTGAAAATATAGGAAGATAGAGTAAAAATAGAGGCGGGAACATAAGTAAGCCCTACTTGCAATTTTCAATGACATAAGTGATAAATTGACACATCAACTCATTTTACAGTTTTTTTCTGAACTAGAAATAAATGGTGAGCCACAACACCACAGTTAAAAATTGCTATTGGATAATCAGGGATTGAGTCATAAAATAACCTTTTGACTTGTAGAGGTTTTGTTCATTGATGCTTTTCAGACCCCGTATCAGTAGAAGCCTCATTTAATCGATGCCTTAATGATGGAAATGGTTGACCCCCTAATTATTGACAATGGTAGATGAAATGATAACATATTGGTATAAGCGTCATTTACTTGGCTGCGCTGATAATAGACAATGGTTGATCCTTAGTGATAGACTATGGTAAAATTATGCCATGTGCAAGAAAAAGCCAAAGTTCACTGGACCGAAATCAGGTCTCACTGAGGATGATATGCTTAGGATTGACAGGATTTCCTTGATTAGATCAGTGTGATTGGGATTAGCCTAGAAAATAATTTTAGAAACAAAACACCCACAAAATAGTGAAAACAAAAGATAAATTTAGAAAATTGATATAAAATAACACATGTAAAAAATTATTTTACCTACTTATTTCATAATAAATTAATTTTTTTTACGAAATATCTTTCTTCCCATAACAGTGAAACTAAAATATAAGAGATGGAGTGCATTATACAAAAAGACCCAAAGCATATCCCTACTAGCTTGGATATAAGCCATTCACTATTATGAAATACAAGAACAAGGTCATGCACTTGTCCATACTGTTGCTCTTTCAATGGTGAGTAAACTTGAGAAACAAAATTGTCTTCTTGCAGTGTTCTTTTCAAGTTTATAACTGGCTGAAGATATAAATGGTTGGTCAACTCACCTAGAAATAGATGTGTTAATACAATATTCTAGTTCAAGTTTATAACTAGCTGGAGATATAAATGATTAATGCATTTAAAGTTACTTTTTTTTATAAGAATGGGGATATTATACCTAATTTCTTTGAATACGGTATATGTTTGTCTCATGTTCTCTTGGTTGGCCAGTGCTTGTGAGTTCCTAACTAAGAAGCCTTTTTCCATTTATATGTTCGAAATAGTTAATTTTAGCAAATTTATACTGGAGACTTTCATCATGTAACATATGTTACCAATGTTTGACAACAAAGGTAGTAGTTGAGTATGACACCACTTTACATATGGCTAATTTCTCCCCATATTTGCAAAGTCAGATATGGCTAAAGATTAAGCTTTTAGTGCAGCAAAGCTTTGTTGATTGACTGGTTATTAACTTATTTGCTGTCTCACTTTGTCTTATTCTCACATCTCAATGTTCTTCTGCCTGAGAATTTGTTTTATGGCGTATTCTTTTGACATTAAATTGTGCTATGATGCAGATGCATTCAGTTGTGCTTCTTTACAACTATTATCACCGGAAGCAATTTCCACGGCTTGAGTTTCTTTGTTTTGAAGCTTTTTGCAAAGTAGCTACCATAGCTAAACCAATTCTTCTTACTTACATGAATGTTATGCACAAGAATGCTGAGGAACTACAAGATTTGGACCAACAGCTCTCAGTTATGGAAAAGAAGATCATGGATGCCTGCAATATTTCTAAAACCTTAGATGCATTAAAAAATGCTCCAAATATGGACGGATGGCTGGTTTCTCGGGTTGCTGTATTTCTTGTAGATGCTTCCAAGGAAAAATGTTTCCTTGACTTTGGCTCTATGACGCAGGGGGTCTGGTCTTTGGTGGAGAAAGAAATTAAAAAACCAATTGCTTTAGTGAATAGCAGAAAGATGAAAAAACATGCATCCAAAAACAAAAGTTTCTCTTGTGACTATTCAGATGGATTATTGGAAAATGAAGATTCACTTCAGCAGCTTGCATTTTCTGTTATGGAGCAAAAGACAGGTGCTAACATCTGTATATCACCATATTTTTAAAATGTCTGTTGCATTTTTATTTATGTAATGTTGATTATATACTGAAGACACAATTGTGAATATCTTAAGTAGCAGTTGCATCCGGGCATTTAAATTGCTAATGTACATGTTGTCATACTGTTACTATATATTTCATAGCTTGAAGCTGATGTTTAATTTGATATAAATGGATGAGTAGGATATGATTAACTAAAATCAGTGGTTTATTCCACTTCCACAGATTTTTACTAATTTTATGTTTTTCAATATATTATATTATATGTTTGTTTTATTTTATTTTAATGTATTAATATATCATATAATAATATAAATATTACTAATCATATTATGAAAAATTTTATCATGGGCTTAATGATGGCAAAAAGTTTGTTGTCTTGAGTAGTTTTGCATAACACTTGACCTTTATTCTGGGTAACAATTAAAAATTTTGATTCTTGTTATTTACTTGCTTTTGACTTTGTTATCCAGTCAATAACTCGTGCTTTCTTGGTGCATTAGTGGGTTATTGTAGTTGATGTAAAAATTGATACTTATTTGACTATTGTAGGGTGAATCTAGTTGTGTCTTGAGTGAAGGTTCAAGGATTTTAATTTTGATGTGTGCCACCGG